GTGTGTGTTTCGCGCGTGCGGAGTACCGGCACTATTGGGGGTGACAGCGGTGCCGAACCGGCACTATATCGGGCATGCTTTAATTAGTGCCGGTCTGGCACTATTGAGAGCTCCGCCTGTGTGCAGAGATTTTACCGGCACTATACCGGGCATCTGGCACTATTCAACCGGCACTAAAAGGGTCCCTCGACTGTATGAAAGTTTTCTGAGGTACATCTGCAATTGTCGGAAGGCGAAAAAAAAAAAAATGGAAACCATAAACATGGGTCTGAGGAAGGGGCGCTTGTCAAAATCAGAGCTTTCAATGCCCGGCCGAAAAGGTTCCCAAAGAGGGGACGTCTGCCAAAGTATATCGTTCGAAGCTTAATTTCCGAACATGATGACCTCACTCAAGCCTCTCTGAATGTTCATTCCCAACAAGACCGTAGATAATCGTGATTTATTTAAGTCTGCACGTTCTGAAGAAAGAAGAACCCGTTCAACTTGTTTAGACATTTTATCACATTTCCTCGGACGCGACAGTAAGCAGCAGCCTACCCGTCAGGGTGGGGAGAGTCGCGCAGACTCGTTCGATGCGAACAACGCTCTCGGGGGCCCGCCGCGGTACTTTACCCCTGTGCGCTGACTCGCAACCTTACTTACAGCACTACTAACAACAACCTGGAGGCTACAGGCTATTATAATTTGTCTGCGGAAATATGCGGCATAATAATGGTTCGACTGCTTGTATGTATATAGTCCTGTCGCCCGGGTGGTCTATCTAGTTGGCAACCTCTAAACCTTGTAGAGGTTAGGTCAGGTCAGTGGTTCGAATCTCGGCGTAAGCGAGCTTTTTTTGCAAAGAAAGTGAGTTTTTCTCTCGCTTCCGCTCCTTGGATAGCGCTAGTTCGTGTATACACAGAGGGAAGAGAGTGCTGAACTCTTCTCGCATTAAAAATCGAAGGCAAAGTACCGCAGGAGGGGAGGGTAGAGAGGGGCTCTTCTGTGTGACCATGGGTTGGAGTAAACGGCACCAGTAGTGCTGTGAGCGCTGATTTGAAGTGAAGAAAAAAAAAAAAAGACATATATATATATATAAATATAGCCTATCTAGTCTATCCCGATTGGGTAGTCTTTCTGTCTGTGTGTGTACACTAGTTTTCCTTGATTTCACAGGCTGACAAACTTTGTCCAATCTAGGTCTAGTGTCCTGCCCAACCGATCTCTGGTACCTAAATGGCCCGCAAATCTTGCATATATATAGAGAGAGAGACTATGGATAATCTACCGTGCGTCCCACATATTTCAGACCATTCGACAAGTTCACAAAAGCATATATATTATATTATGTTGACTGACTGTGTTCTTGCGGGGGGGGAGTGGTCTCCCACTCTCTTGCTAAATTCCTCGGATGAGATCCATATGGGGTATGGCCTGCCACTCCGTTGGGGTTCGTATGCACCAACAGGGATATTCCCTTTGTCTTTTGCAGTGTCTAGCCAGGTGTTTCGTCTTCTCCATACTACATAGCGAGTAGCATTGTGGATGGTTGCTTTCCGACGCCTGTTGTTTCGATCGCTCGTAAAACAAGCGCATTTTTCTTAATAGTATTACTCAGTATGACACAACGGTTCCATCTCTATCTAAGAAAGAAAATAATCCAAGACAGACTAGCAATGAATCCATAGCGTCAGTGAAGGCTACCTATCTATCTATGTTTCCATGATTTCCGGAGCAGCATACATATCACCAACCGCCTCAGCGCATTCTGCGAAGCCAACGAAATCCTCCCGGAGGAACAGTGCGGGTTCCGGCCTGGCCGATCCACGGTATGCATGCTGTTCGTTGTGCGCCGACTCCAGGAGCTGGGGCGGAGGAGGAGAATCCCGCTCTACATGTGCTTCATCGATCTGCAGAAGGCATATGACTCGGTGGACCGGGAGCTACTGTGGAAGGTGCTGGCCCGGGCCGGGATCCCCGGGGAGATGATCGCCGTCATCCGCAAGTTCCACGTCGGAATGCGGGCCCGGGTCCGCACGGACGATGGGGAGCTATCGGACTGGTTCCCGGTCACGCAGGGATTACGACAAGGGTGCTCAATGTCCCCACTGCTGTTCAACGTCTTCTTCGCAGCGCCTCTCGAGATCATTGTCACACGGTTCAGCCAAGATAAGTTATCGTGCGGGACCTAGTGTACTTGAAGGAGGAGGAACGGAGGGGGGAGGGATTGCTGGACCGAGTCCAGAGGGCGGTGTGGGGGATGCTATATGCGAGCTGCTATATGCCGACGATGCCGGCGTTGTGTCGAAGTCCGCCGACGGCCTGGCGAGGATGATGACCATTATCGTGGAGGTGTTCCGGGAGTTCGGGCTGACGGTGTCGGAGAGGAAGACGGAGACC